GAGGAACTTATGACTGTGGTCAAGGTTTCAAAAGGAAGATGTGTTCATGGAAAGACACTTACATGGAGTATGACGACTCCAAACTTAAAGCTAAGTTGAAAGGGAGGTAATTGAGTGTCTATGGCAGAACACATACATAAAGTACGACGACTCTAATTCTAAGGCTATGATGAAAAGAAATAAAGAGTAAGTATCCACGGCAGGAACTTACATGGAATGCGACGACTCCAATCCTAAGACTAGGATAAGGGGAAGGACCTAAAGCTAAGCTACGTGTGACATGGCAGTCAACGAGGATGATATCATTTCTTTTGGAATGTGTCGCGTTTGTTATGATTTAGAAAAGAAAATTAGAGCTAGGATTAAAGTATTAGTTTTAAACGGAAAGGAAACATATTCTAATTCTAAGGTCCTAACGATCAAGTTTTAAGGGGAACTATCCTAATATCATCATGCAAGAAAATTCAACCTAAAGTCTATCTTGAGTTAATTAATCAGGGATTCAATTAAATCAAGAATATCCTAAGGGAACATGGCAAATTAGGATCGCTAAGAGTCCATATCAAAACCTAATAGAAATTTAGAATTATACAAGTTCTAGTTAATAAATTACATAAAAATCTAAAAACATAATTATTACCTAACAAAATAAATACTAAATTCGAATTAGAGAAAAGGATAAATGAAAATTAAAATGAATTAAATTTTTTTAAAAACTAGAACAAAAATATTGTTTAAAAAAAAAGATGTGGGCTAGGCCCATCCACTCTCCAAAAAAATAAAGGGCAAAGAATTAAAAAAAAAGAATCTTGGGTCGGTCATCCCACCTGACCCATGCCAACAACCACAACCCGTTTGCAAAAGGAAAAGGAAAAGAGGGGTACTTCAAAACCCTGTAGGATTTCCTTCTTTCTCCCTCTACTACGACTCTCTCACTCTCGCACAACTCTCTCTTTTCCCCATATCTGATCGCAACGCTGATGTTCTCCATCCGCATTGCCACCGTTTCATCTTCTTATTCCTTGTCTCGCCTCAAAATCTCTCCGCTCTCTCACGCGTGATGCTCTCTCAAATGTAAATCCACTCCATTTCGGTTTCGCCGTCAATTCGAAATAACAAATGATTCAAATATGCAGACACAAAGAGGGTTAAAGGAATACTTACATTGATTGAAGGTATGATTCAAAATCTACGAATTTCGATTTCTTCTAGTTTATACGTGTTATTGTGTCCTGCAAATGTATGGTCTGGAGCAATATGCACATAGGGAATGACATGAATCCAAGTTAAGTACTCTTGGCTTGGCTTGCATTCACCAACTACAACGTCCCCTGCAAAATCAGATTTCTTCTATGTTTTCATTCTTTCAACTCCTCTTTGTTTAAGTCTTGCCAATGAACTTTTTAGACTTTTCTTATCGTCATTGTGTGGTGTTCCCTTAGACACCTTGGCAGGGAAGGGATTTGTTGTTCAAATCCGAACTGGAGTTTTACCCTATCTGTTTGATGCATTTCAACAGTATAGAAACAGATAAGAGAAGTTGTAGCGCTCCAGATCTGACTATCTCTAAGATTGGGCACCAGGTATTGAATGTACGACCTCCATATAAACTGCCACATATTAGAAAAAATCATAATACAATTAAGGAGTATATGCAACAACTAGGTTCTATGGTTTCAAACTCACATCTTTTTCTTGCATGTAGTCCAATGTGTTTCGATACCCTTGTAGATGGAAACGAGGATTAGTATCGTAATTCATCCGTCTTTGGGCCCATCTTGCATAAACAAAAAATGTAAATATTGTTAGGCATAATTGACTAACAAATATATGTGTGTGTGTGTGTGTGTGCGTGTGTGTGTGTGTGTGTGTGTGTGTGTGTGTATGTGTGTGTGTATGTGTGTGTTTTAATCTAGTAATACCTTTGAGCATATGGATATGACGGTGGCAATGAACTAACAGGAGCAAGCAATGATATACGCGTCAATGCCCAAGAAGTGAGTAGATAAACACAACCACTCATGCTCCTAACATCTTTGACTGTGGCCTTGCATATTTCTCTGTACAGTTTTGCAAGACATGCAGAACCCCAACTAAAGGTGTTGCATTTTTCTAAATCCCCTACGAAGGAATCCAGGAAGAATTAAAAGATTTTGACTCTTGTCGAGAAACAAAATAGTAGCAGTTACAAGTAAAATATAAACTTTAGCTTGTAAAATAGTATGTTCTTGGGTTGGGGCAGAGTTATTTTTTAAAACTTAGTATAAATTCTCTAGCCACGTAATCCTAACAGAACCTATATTTTTATCCGCTTCTGTAGGTTCCACCCCTAAGTTTTCCATGTAAGCATCATTTATTACTTCGATAGGACCATCGATAGCTTTTCCATCAACTCGGAGACCAAGTAACATATTCACATCTTTTAATGTTATCGTGCATTCACCTGTTGGGAAATGAAACGTGTGTGTTTCTGATCTCCATTTCTCTAACAAAGCTACAACTAGGCTGAAGTCGATTTTGAGACTATTTATTTTTGCGATATTAGCAAAACCTGCTATTTCTAAATACGATATTATTCTCGCATTTGCTTGAATGAGAGCATGAGAATGCACTCGAAACCTTGCATTAGTCTGAAAAGAAATGAAATAATATTGAACCAAAAAATTATAAACATTATTACATAGAATAGTAGAGGAAAACTTACACTCAAGGTTGTCAAACTCGCGAGTCTACTCAAACTCGTAAAGGGTCTGCAGACTCGACTCGCAGACTCGACTCGCAAACTCGTACGAGTCTATGGAAAATTAAAACTAACTTTCAAAAACCTATATGTGACACATACATGACACACATATGTATTTTTAAACTTATAAATGCGTCATCTTTACACTTATATATAATAGAATACCAATTAACATCAAAATTTAAATTTCATACTCCAAATTTCTTTAAAAAATTCAATAATAAAACAAACAAAATAGCAAAGTATGTATTTAAAAACTTAAAGTACTAATTTCTTCTCAATTGACTACTATATAAAGAAAAAATAAAATTATAAAATATATATGATAATGGCTTTAAACATCCAAAACTCCAGTGAAATCATCACCATCATCTTCATCGGTATCTTGAGTATCATCAACAAATTCTACCTCGGATGAAACACTTTCTTTATCATTAACCAAAATTGGATTTCTTGAAGTTCCACTTCCACCTAATTCAATATTTCCACCACCACCACTACTTCGCACAACATTATTAACAAAAACAACAACTTCCACAACATTGTTAATTATAACATCATGTTACTCAACATTAACTCCAGCTTGCATATTTTCCTCATTAGGATCTTCAATTATCCATTCATCATCTTTACACAAGAGAATATACAAGAGAAACATTCAAGTGAAGCATATTATAAAATAATTACACAACAAATGATTAACTCACAAAAAAAACGTGAATAAAGCAAGAGACCTAATAAACACACACGTCTATGAAAGGATGAAGGGAGGAAGAAACCTTGTCGAAACAAGAGACTAGGAGAAAGAATTTAAAATTCTCGTACAAACAAAAAAATAAGGGGTTTTTAAAAATAAAATAAAATCTTTTGGAGAATTTACGCCTTTTTTGGGTTTAAAAAACACAAAATACAAAAAAAAATTATAAACTCGTAAACTCATCATAGACTCGCGAGTCTATACGAGTTTATGCGAGTCTACCTGAGTCTACTCGAGTCTATCAAAAAATGATTCTATGTGCGAGTCTACTCGTTTTCGCTTCCTAGACTCGTAAACTCGTACGAGTTTACGAGTCTACCCGCGAGTTTGACAACCCTGCTTACACTGGCTTGAATGTTTAGTTTTGTTCCACGATGTTCATCGCCCATCCACAACAAAGACATTTTGATTGAATTACTTGAGTGTTTGTTGTTGCTAGAGGGTTTTATGATAGAAGTAAAAATGTTTGTAGAAAAATGTTTGAAGTAAAAATGTTTGAAGTGTAAATATGACTAGTAGAAGTGACATTACACTAAGTTTTGCATGACATTACTAAGGGTTACTTGCATGGAATGCATGCAAGGCTACTACGTAGGTCTTACACAATGTACCTTGCATGGAATACATTTTTTAGAACCTTTCATGTACTCGCCACTTGGGTGGACGAGTTGCTACGAATTCAAGAGCATGCTCGCCATCTGGTTGGGCGAGCAAGTACTATCCAAGAGCATGCTTGTCCTTTGAGTGGAAGAGCTCACACTACCTTTAATTTCTTTGCATTATATGTGTTATATATATATATATATATATATATATATATATATATATATATATATATATATATATATATATATATATATATATATATATATATATATATATATATATATATATATATATATATATATATATATATATATATATATATATATATATATATATATATATATATATATATATATATATATATATATATATATATATATATATATATATATATATATATATATATATATATATATATATATATATATATATATATATATATATATATATATATATATATATATATATATATATATATATATATATATATATATATATATATATATATATATATATCTGTGTGTGTGTGTGTGTGTGCGCGCGCGCGTGCGTGCGTGCGTGTGCGTGTGTGTGTGTATTATATATTGTTTGTATCATCACTCATAATTTCATTAACAAAATCATAGAGTTTTCACATCAAATATGGCTCAAAGATAGAATGAAAAAAAATTAGAACGATGTATTGAGGAGATTATTTATCGTCATCCATTACTTAATGAAGACGACAGTACAACTTTTTACGTAATGACGCCGATCAGAAACGACGAAGAGGTGGAAACAATGTTTCGATGCCACGTGATATTTGGTCAGTTACCCACAATTGAGTTGTATGTTCATCTACTGGACAATGCCGAAACATTTTCGACGCAAGAGACACAATCACACTAGTATGGAATGAGCCAAACATCTGACGATGAACCAACACAAAACAACGAACCTTTCATACCAAATGAAGAGGTTGGGGAAGCAAGCGACGATGATCTTCAAGAGGTCAGGATGCAAGATATTTTTGGTAACAATGATGATGAAGATATAATATTCGCGTCTACACAGTTGATTTACACCAAACCAATAAGCTTGTATAACCCACCTGCACATATGCACAATATATGTATGGAAGATGATGAAACAACCTCTGTGTTTGGAGGTGTCATACCAAACCATAAAGGTGACGAAATAGAGATTGGGATGGAGTTTGAAAACAAGGAAGCTTGTGTTAGACACATTACACTGAACTTCATGTCTACTGCATTAGACACATTGCGCAAAACTTCACGCGCGAGATTAAGGACAAGGAACTACGGAAAAAACTTATTAACATGGGTAAGAAAATACATTTCAGTTATCTGAACTATTATATCATACTTTTACTATGTTTTTCATACCATTTCTATTACAAGTTACGCATTAACGGAGGCTACATTTAACTACTATCGCAGAGAAATCAGAAGAACAAACATTAAGGCCTCATATTGGATAGACAACATACCGAGGGAGAAGTGGGCTAGAGCATTTGACAGAGGGCAACATTGGAGACATATGACATCTAACTTGGCAGAGGCCATAAAATTTGTACTAAAGGTAATCCAAAACCTTCCAATCACTGCTTTGGTTCAGTCTACATAATATCGCATGGTTCCCTCTTTGGTAAACGAGGACACAAATGAACCAAAATGCTAGCTACCAGTAAAGTTTTCACAGATGGTTGCAACAAGGGAATGACTGATGAGGTAGCCAAGGCTAACACACATAATGTCATGCAATTTGATCACGAAAGGTTCTGTTTCATGGTGCAGAAAAAAATTAATCAGAACGATGGTCGTTCGACGGGTACTTTTAGCATTGACCTTAGGAATTGTTGGTGTGACTGTGGAAAATTTCAGGCATTTCACTTACCTTGCTCCCACGTGATCACGACATATTCTAGCATATGTCAGGACTACACCATTCACATTCCAGAGGTCTTCACAATTCTTAACGTATTCAAAGTCTACAAGGAAAGCTTCCTGGGACTACCACACGAGGAAAACTAGCCAAAATATGAAAGTTTTACTCTATGCCACGACGATTCCATGAGAAGAAATAAGAAGGGACGTCCAACCAGTAGTAGGATTAGAACTGAAATGGACGACGCTGAAAAGGAAAAGAGAAGGTGTGAGATTTGCAGAGGAATAAGTCATATGCGTAGAAAATGTCCAAATGTTGTCGGCCTGTCAAACCGACCGTCTATATAATTTTATTTATTTTACAAGGAACTCGGTTTGTAAAGTATTTTGCTTGCACTTGATTTCTCTGTGATCCAACATTTATTTGTAAATCAAGACAACTTTTAGATTACACCAATACTAGCAGATTACAACCATGAACTTAATATCAGCTTGTTCATACATCATCATGACACAATCGTAATTGTCCAATGGATGGTCGAGCATCATGATGCCATAATTTATGTTTTCTAAATAAAATTAAAACTCAAGAAGCTAACATACACGCTAATCAACAACAACAACCAACACAAATGGATCTTCAACTCCTTTGTTAACTTCGTTGTATGCTGAAAACATATATTAGACATCTTCATCATTTTCTATACGATCCAAGTAATATATGTACGTACCCTCTGGGCTTGCATCAGTCAGCGTTATATACGGACAACGATACTCCATTTTTCTCACCTTCATGCGACGACCACCCAATTGTCGAAACCCCATGTTAATTGCTATAACCACGGGTCTGAAATTCCACTGCAGTTCTAGGTAAACACTGCTTTTTTTTCTTGTCCATAGAAAACAAGAGCTCGGACATACATTTTAAAAAAACGAAATACTGGGCACGGATGATTTGTGTTGATGCGCATTAATTTATTTATAAAAAAATATTACGTTTGAACTCGATTATTCATTGGTCGAGAGTCTGTAAAAATTCGACAACTCATTGGACGAACATCAATTGTTTTTTAATATACATAAAAGAAAAAAAAATTAAAATATTATATCATTCATAACTTATTTTCTTTCTAATTAAAAAGAATTATTATACTAAATTAAATATTATAATAACATGATATATAATATTTTTTAAATATTTTTAATTAGTCTATAATTATTAAATTAATATAATATATTTTTAATATTTAAAATTATTATTTTAATTAATTAAGCATTATATAAATATAAAAAATAAAAATAAAAAATTTAAAACTACACGTGCTCGCACTTGAGTGGATCAACATCTTCATTAAAAAAAAATTCACCTACTTGCCACATGAGTTACAAACATGTAGAAAAACTAAGACATTCTTATGCTTTTTTTCAAACTAAAATAATATGGTATTTATCATTTCAGGCTAGGACATCCTTGTTGTTCATTTAATACAAGTAGGTCTTGTTTTCATTTTTGTGTGACACAACATATGTCTTGTTGATAAGTTGAATTCTTTAAGAAAGAAAATATTTAAATATTTTTACCAAACAACATGAGCTGTTTACCTAACAAAACCAAAAAGCATACACAACTAAGTAACCTAAAAAATCATCTACTAACAGCACCTACACACCTGTTTCTCATTTCCAGCTGTCTACGTTTTTGTGGGTCCCACACTCCTTCCCCAATCTAGCTATAAATACTTCCCACTCTCTTCCATCACCATAATCACACAAAAACTTCTCCTTAACTCACATTTTCCACTACTTTTTCAATTACACGTTTTCTTCTCTGTTAAGAAATTTTACAATGGCATCATCAGCTACCGCTATCCAAATCTTTTCCTTCCTATTCGTCGTTGTTTTCGCCGCAGTTACCTCAGCTCAAGATCTCAGTCCCTCGTTGGCTCCAGCACCAGGTCCCGACGCCGGAGCTGCCGGATCTGTTACAAATTCTGTGGCTATGATCGGAGCTTCAGTTGTGCTGTCAATGCTAGCCATCTTCAAGAACTGAGAAAAACACGCATGATTCTTATATGAATATGGATTGGATTTTATTGATTATTAGGACTTCATCTATGTATAGTGGAGAGTGAGAGAATTTTTTTTTCAGTATTTATTTATTTATTTATGTATTTAATTATTTATTGTAGATGTTAGTGAAAAATAAAACAGGATATTCATTGTTTATTTTTTATATTGATAAGATATTTATTGGTATTATTAGTATATTATTATTAGTCCCCTACCTTCTAAATACTTTTTTCATTTTTACTTTGCATTTGTAGAATTCTTTTATCTATTTTCTTCAATTTTAAAATTTAATGAACATTAATTATAATTTTACAATAATATTTTTAGTTACTTGTTACCTTAAAATAGATAAAATAAAATAAAATAATAAGTAATTAAAAATAATATAGTAATTTTAGAAATATCAATATTAAAATTAATAAAATGTATAAAACATGTTGTAAGAGCTTCTACCATATCTATTCAATTATTTTAGTCATAAGCTAAATAAACTGCGTCGAGTGAATTTTTGATGTTAACACTTTTTTGCATGTCGCATTAAATAAAATATAACATTATAATAATATTATTTGATTATAATGTTATGACTTTTCTTTTTAATTTTTATGTTTTTGAAAAAGGTTAAACGTAATAACATAAAATTTAACTCATCAAAGCAAAAGTAATAGGTAGACATACTGAAAGTTGAATATGACCAACCTTTCTTCCGAGCAAAAATGACAAGTGAATTCTATCAAATATCAAAATAATTAAAAAATATTTTTTTATTTAACTAAAAGATATTTAAGGATAATATGCACACCAGTAAATGCATAATAATTAGTTTGAACTCAAGACGTCTTAGTTGTTCACATTTTAACATTTTTAATATTTATTTATTTTTTAAGGTGCAAACTATAAAAATGTGATGATTATTCGTATTCACATTTAAATATATAAAATGGATGATGTATGTATTTCACCTAAGATATGTTTGGATATTTCAATGAAATAGAGTAAAATAAAATGAAGTGTAAAGGAACAGAACGGAATTGATATTCTATTTATTATTTGAATATTTTAAAATGAACGTAGTAAAAAATGTTATTCTATTTAAATCAGATGAAACAAAAATAAAAATAAATAATAAAATTAGATGGAATACATTTTTTTTTCCAATTTAAATGATAAAATATAACACTATTTCATTTCAATATTCTCTCGCATTCCGTGAATCCAAATATAATCTTAGACTCTTAAATAAATTAATATTCTTTTCTTTGTGGCATAAATGAGGTTCCAAGTTAAAAGAGAAAAACACTATAAAATTAAAGTGACACTTCTAATCATATAAGTTCAAATGATATGATCAAAAAGTAGTTTATAAAGCTTAGAAAGAGTTTCTATATAAGTGTCATTTTAAAAAAATTGAGGTTAAAATTAGTTACCTATTCAACGTAAGAATTTCTTTCTCAATAAGTATGACAAAAAATAGATATGTTAATCTAAAGTTAAGAATCGTCGAATGTGTTGCACTAATGAAGAAATCACCCACACATATAGTTAGAGTGTTTGTAGTTCGGCTTGGATCGGTTTTAAAGTAAAATATCATGCAATTCAAAGATAAATTTACTAGCAGTTTAGTTCGTTTTTGGATGATCGGTTAAAAAAATTCAATTTAATCGGATCTAATTTATACGATTTAATTTAGATCGGTTTTTTTGGATATCTAAATTATAAATTATAACTATTATTAATATTCTAAAAGTAGTAATAAATAATAAATTTGATATAATATACTATATCAAAAGCTAATATTACAAGATGAAAATAATAAAAATAAATAAATAGAATCTAAATAATAAATAATATTTAAAAAATAAGTAGCATCTAATATTAAATTAACACAACATATATATTAACGATAAATAAATAAGTATAAAAAACATATATAAACAGTTAGGTTTGGATCGGTTTTGAAAAATCAATTCGTAATCCGATCTGAACCGAACGGTTTTTATAAAATGACATCCAAATACATCTAAAAATTTTTGGTTTTTTTCCGATTTCGATTTTTTTATCCGTCTACAGTTTTTATTTGGATCGGTTTGAATTTGAACACCTCTATACGCAGTTACCCATCACCATGTCTAACAAAATCTTGAGTCACTTTCTACAATAAGGTGATAAATGCGCTCATATCAAACCATATTCAAACCAAGATATATGTTTCACATTTTAACATGAAATGCATCATAAGCTCTAATTTTTCTTATATAACCTTATATACAACTCTCTTTCCGAGTTGCAACATCCTTCTCATAACATCCTTCTCAAAATTAATGATGTCGATGCAACTTTGTGATGCTAAAGAAAACAAATCGCCAACATTATGGGCATATTTACCTAACCAGAAATTAGCCTTTCTACCATGACCAATTTTTCCACTCCACATGACGATGGAAATCACTCTACACCCCCACTAAATCGTT